ATGATTCCAAAGGAAGTGCACATTCTGGCAGTCTGGTTGAATAGAGTCTTATCGAGAACTGCTTTGCTGAAGAGGAAATATATTTCTGCACAAACCGTCTGCAATTAAGAAACGGTAATTTATGGTTGGATGTCATTTGGCAGAGGAGGGAGAAGAAAGAAGAAGGTGGAGAAATGTTGTTTTACTATTTAAAAATGGGGATACTGATGCACATATTTAGACAGTCTCCAAGGAGACATTGATAGTGCTGCAGTGTAATTCACATGAAAAGTGTCATGGTGAAAATGAAGCAGGATATACGACCCTGAGTGAACTGCATGTGATCAGTGTGTAGAAGTGTCTTCCTGCACATTCCTGGCGTCATGGCAACATGAAGCCAACATTCATTATTTGAATACGATATCAGCAGTAACACTGCAAAAATGCCCAAGAGCTTAAATACAAATAATCTGAAGTATATTTATTCGTAATGGAAGAACGAACAAAGAATTTCTTTGTAGTGAAGCGAAATTGTGAGTTTAAAACAATGAAAACTTTTTAGTGAACTCCACTGCAATCAACCTATTCTGCACATACACAGCATCATCACTGTGGTGTGCAGTGTTGGATCTGGGATTAAAGCACTCAGTGTCGTCTTCAGCTTCTGCGTTGGTTGAATACCTCTGGATACCTTCTCCACTTTTAATATTAGGCTGCAAGATTTACGTTTCAATGAAGCTCATAGTTGGTGCAGGATCAGGTAAAACTGTCATCACTCATTGCTGGCTCTTTGGTTCGTTGATCCAGTTCAACACAGGGGTGTGCATGGCTTTCCATTTACTTCTGGTAGCTGGTAGATCACAACCAGGAAGTGTGAGCAACTACGATGAGGGTGAAGAGTGGAGATGACACACCTGTGGATGGAGATGCCTATGAGAGAGAGCATGGACTGTTTATGTCTGTGAAGGTTCTCAGTCATCCAGGTCATCGTAGTCAAAGGAGCTTGCAAAGAAAAGCGTCTGGACTTCTTTAAGTTGCTTGAAGACGTTTCACCTCTCATCCGAGAAGCTTCTTCAGTTCTAAGGTCAAATGGTGGAGAGTCCCAGATATAAACCTAGTGGGAGTGACCCCAAGTCAAGTCAAGTCAGTTTCACACCTTGGCTCAGGTGATTAGAGGATCATCAGGGGTCCTTTTGTCCCTCTGTGGGAAACTCCCACTAGGTTTATATTTGGGACTCTCCACCATTTGACCTTAGAACTGAAGAAGCTTCTCGGATGAGAGGTGAAACGTCTTCAAGCAACTTAAAGAAGTCCAGACGCTTTTCTTTGCAAGCTCCTTTGATATGGACTGTTTAATTCACGCATGGAGAGAGTTTGCACAGGTGTTCCCCTGCCAGTAGGAGGTTCTCTAACATGAATGGGTGGGAGTAGATTGCCTGTGGCCCCATGATCCCCCAGTAGATCATGCTCTCACCCCATTGATTGCACTCGCTAGCTCCCTTCTTGTGAAGGCCACATGCCCGAGCAGAGACTCTAGGGTTATGGATTCCCTGCTGGCTAGGCTACACAGGGCCATGTCAACTACCTCCCCATTGACTTTTCTTCGGGCCAAGCCGGCCAGCCCTCTTCCCTGTCTGCCTTACAATGCAAGGCAGCTTGGTCTGCTCTGGGGGCAGAGCCTTGGTTTTAATTTTCCATGACCCAGGGGGACCACCTGCAGTTCCTCCGCAGACCCCGCTGTCATGTCCATCCCAAACTTTACAATCCAGCGTCGACCAGAGCTCAGCCACTCTCCCCAGTAGTTCCCCAGACAAGGCTGAACAGCAGCAGGTGTGTGCCATCATCCCCTTTAGGTGTGACCGGCCTCCCGGGGGAACACACTCACCTGTGAGGACTGCTAGCCCAAGGCAAACCCATCAAATATATTCAAGTTCATAAACACTCATGAACCCTGGGTCACCAGACCCAGGCCCATGACACTCAGTTCTCCTGGGGAAATGTGCAATATGGGAGGTGGATGCTGGGGACCACCAAGCTGGGCTTTTCTCACACTATCTTTTGGTTCCCAAGCAGGATGCAGGACTGGGGACTCTGCCTGCTTTTGGATCTCAGGGGCCTCAACCACTATCTTCAGTACCTGAGATGCAAGATGCTGAAGGTCCCCAAGGTAAGGCAGGCCATCAGTGCCCTGCATTCCTATTGAAGGCCCTGTCTGAATTCCACCTGTTCCATTCAGGTGAGCTTTGAACAGCTCCCACTGAGAGGTTGGCCCAGGAGGCAGCTCAGCACCAGGCTGCCTTGTGCTCTGGCCATGCTTTGGCAGTGTAGTCAGTACCCGGCCGTCCATTCAGGGATCCTGAGTCGACAGCTTTCTAGGACCTGGTTGTCCCACTAGATCGTGGACACCATTTAGGAGGCATATGCCTCTTCAGGGTTTCCCTTCTGGAGTGCGCGCCCACTCTACCCAGAGGGGTGGCCACATAGTGGGCCTCAGCCATTTGTGCGGCGGCAACATGGTCATCTGCATCAACCTTCCCCAGGTTTAACCACCTGAATGTGGCAGCCAGCCCCTCTGTCGGGGAGAACGTCCTGCCTCGTAGTGGTAGGTGGATAAGGGATCATTTGTGTCCAAAGCAGTCAGTATACTAAACAATGAGATGCTGTGACATATATTGTTTAATTTTTGTATTAAAGTTTTGTATATTAAAACTTATATTTCATTGTGTTTTTTATTATATATTTATGTTATTTTTGTTGGTTCGTATGAAGTAACTTGATTGCTTTATGACTTGGTGAAGCGAAGACAATTCTCCATTGATGTGAATAACAACGTTATTCTATTCTAGTCCTTTAGTCAGGGGTGCTATGAAGGATGGTTTGGAGATGGTGGCTCTGACAGAAAGACAGGAGGCCAGCTGACGATGTTCATGGCTTCATGGGGTGTAAAAAGCATGGACATGACTAATGTAAAGAACACACGGCAGATCCGTCCACACATTCATGCTATTCAGCATCTTGCTTTTATTCACTGGTTGCTGTTCACACGTGGCTGCAGCTTTCCAGCCGCCAGCCGAACATAGACACCAACAACAACAATTCTCACGACCCAGTACAGATTTTAAAGCCGGCAAGGTGTGATTGCAGATGCCGCACTGGTGCGTTCGCCTCACTCGCAGCGGCACCTCAGACCACGCCCCACCACAACTAGAAATTAATACAAGAGCTGAGGCTGAGTGCTTTGGAGACAAAGTTAGAGAGGCAAGGCTGAGGTGGTTTGGACATGTGCAGGGGATGAATAGTGGGTATGGTGGACAAAGGATGGTGAAAATGGTGCTGCAGGAGGGAAAGAGGAAGACCTCAGAGAGGTTCATGGATCTAGTGAAGGAAGACATGCAGAGGGTAGGTGTAAAACAGAAGAAGATGGTATAGAATGAGATGTGGGGACTATTAAAGGGAGCAGCTGAAAGAAGTGGTTGCAGATAACATATGACTCTGGCTCTTCCTGTAGAGTGCTATTGTGTCTCTACACAGACTCCAGGGATGGGCACGGTTCTGGTCCTCTTCCTGTCCACAGCCCACTTAGTCTTTGCCAGGGTAACCTGCAAATGCTTCTGTTTGTATCATGTAACAGAGCAGACTGCAGCAGTCCTGCAGAAAGGTGAAATTTGGATATTGTGGTCAGTTTTTCTGTACCCTTAAATTGTGTAGTGAAAGTAGACAGTAAAGGAGAAAATCGAATCACAAAGAAAAAAATAAATTGCAGAGAAACTTATTTTTCATTGTGAATAAATGAAGATTCTCTCACATTCAAAAGGAAAAAATAACTCTTTGTGCAGGAGCTCCTTTGCTTCTTTCAGGCACAGCGTTTGCTGTAAAGTGTAGGGAAGGTGACTGTGTGAGCGTGCAGTGGTGGTCCAGCCTGAGGTGTGACACATTGTTGCACAGCCTTATGCAACACTGACATCTTTTGGTGCTGGTGGGGCTGACTGTCAGTGCAGCCTGTGCGCCAGCCACACTCCCCTAAATAAACACACAGTTTGCCTGTTTGTTGACAAGATTGCAGGTAAGTGGAAGTCTCGCTCAGCCAAATATGCAGGAAATACGACCGTGTTCTGGGCGTAGTGCGGGTGTTAATTTTCACTGGTTCCTAAACACTGGATCCATAGTTCATAGAGGACAGAGGTACAGGAATATCAGGAGTGGAAGGTCTAACAGTATATCAGAGCTCACAACCTTTCTTCAACAGAATGATGACTTGAAATATATTTTGAAGCTAAGGCTTCTATATTGTTACTTAAGTAGAGTCATGGATGCAGAACTTACAGTAATAATTGTTCTTTCATAAACCGTATAAAATTCAAATATGTATGCACTTCAAATAAATCTTTAAAAATGTTTAAAAATCCATGTGAATGAAAATATAAATGGTATAAAAGTGTAAAAAAGGCTAAATACACAGCCTTTTATACACAGAGACACATAAGCAAAGAAGACGTCATACAAATCAGGAGTCAAAGAGAAAACCTCTCTCTCTCTCTGGTAGACATGCGACAGCCCTGACCTTTATTATTATCATTATTATTATCATTATTATTATTAGCACTTTATACAAATTGTCTTGTTTACCCGTTCATACAAGCCATCAAAGAACAACTCGGAGTCAGTATCTTGCACAGGGATATTTGACATGCAGACTGGAGCAGCCAGGGATCAAACAAACAGGTTGCTGTCAGTCTTTTTCTTTCCTAGTTTTAAGTTTGAGTTCACTGGAATGAATGAGAATAAAAGGCTAAAACGATACTGCAGTGTTGCAAAACTATAATCACATTATGGGGCAGCGCTTTTACACTTTGACTTTGTTGGATCTGTTAAGCTTAACATTTAATAATACATAATAAATAGCACATATGTCATCATAACAGAAAAACAAACTTTAAAACAAACAAACAGAAAATATAAAATGAAAAGAAAAATTAGAATGACTTATTAAAAATAAAAGAACTCCAGTGGTCCTGTTCAGACACGTTTCTGGCTAAATCATGCTCATGGCCTTTCTTTATGAGGCAACACATGTACACTCAGCCTTTTGGCCAAAAAACATGAACAATCTACAGCCAACACTCAACTTTACTGCGAACAACAAAGACGCACAACGAGAACTCGGCTTCCGGGCCAAAGTCAAACGTGACCGGTCGCAGCTTTTACTTTGAAATCCATTAGAGGAAGTGGCATCCTCGGCGGGCCTCTGAGTGCGGCTGCTGCGCGGAGTTGAGGTGGAAGTTTGTGTTTAGTTAGTCTCCGGAGCTGAGAGCGATGAGCGGGCACACGGTCCCTGCAGACTTCTCAGAACACATGCTGGACCTGGACGAGGACGAGGACCTGGAGGTTTTCACCAAGGTAACTCCCGCACCGCGGGACTGCGCTTCCAGCCGCTGCTCAAGTTTACTCTTTCCGAAGATTCACCGCCCACACTCACACATACACTCGTCGGGTCGAGGGGCAGCTCTTCGGCGCGTGTTTGCGCAGGCGCAAGAGCTGAAGAGCTCGAGCTTGAAACATAAAAGATGAAAGGTGGGGCTGCTGAAAGTTTTCGCTGTCATGTTGTCATCAGGTTAAAGAGTAGGAGAGCTGTAGAGCCGGCTTTACGCGACTGAAGAAAACGTTTGTGATACTTCTCTCAAAATGTCGAGTTAGGATCTCAGACTTGACAGATAATAACTCAAAACCGAGAAACTATCTTGAAGTTTCGATTTAGAAGTCGAAGCTTTCAGCTTGGCTCTGTGTGTGTGGAAGCCTGTGAGTTCACTTCATTCATGCGTGCACACTTCCGGGCTCAGTCATGTGACATCACTGTAAAAGTGTGTGATCGTCCACGCTGACACATAAAGTGCGCTCACTGTTAAAAATTCACTCGCATGATTGGAGGAAATCTCAGGTCCACGGAAGCAGCAGGTTCCATCTTCACTTACAGTCTATGTACACTCAGCAGTCACGTGATCGGAACCTCCCAGGTGTGTGTTTTCTGACGATCAGCTGAGTTTTGAAGATTTAGTGCTGCTGTGTGATGACTGCAATGTTATTCTCACAGCCACGAGAGCCTGAGTGGCAAGTCTGAAAGAAGTTCTATAATAACTCTTAGTTATTGTGTTTGCAGCTCTGTGTTTGTAGATTTCATTTCAAATAAGAGTGAAGCAAGATGTGTGTGGTGGTCTGTGCTCAGGTGGTCTGTGCTCAGGTGGTCTGTGCTCAGGTAAACAGGGCTGTGTTCTAGTTGTGATGAAATCCATAGTAATAGTAGAACCCACTCCAGCTGTAACAGTGATAGTGCTGTGCACTCCAACCTCGATTCGTTGTACTAACCAGGTTCCAAAACAGTGAGACACTGTGCAATCTGTAAATAAAAACCACATTTGAACATCTCATACGTCCACATTTTATTCACAAGAAAACATAACAGATGTTTAAACTGGGAAATTTTTTCTCAGGGCCAGGGGCAGATCTAGAGGGTGTTTTGCATATGACAGTGTTGTTTATTGAAATAAGATTGCAATAACACTTTGAGCCTAGCTACAGTTAACACTGAATATATTGCATAGTGTTACCCCCCTCCATCATTAACAAATGGTTCAGCCCACAGCGCAGACCGGCTTTATTACTTGTTGTCAGTAGCAACCCATGCCTATGATTGTGCCAGAGCACATTTTGAATGAACACCATGGACATTTCAGATTTCACACAGGTGGTTGGTTGTTACACTCTGAAAAAAAAACCTATAACTACTTATAGGAATTTGTTTTTTGTGTGATTTTAGATCAGTTGTGTTACTACAGCATGTCAATGAAAGAAGTGTAAATTCGACACGTGAGGTTGAGCTGAAGCGAATGAGACCAAACAAGGCAAAAAAGATAAAATAATAATAATAGTAATGGATTGGATTTATATAGCGCTTTACAAAAATGAAACAATTTAAAGATGAAATACAAAATCAAAATTTAGAAAATCAAAACTGGCCGGTTATATTTTGGACCTCAGAGAGTGAACCCAACAAATCATGAAAATTTAGGCTTCATTTTTGTTGACGGTGCAGATCTCTGACACTTTGTGTAAATTAAGCAACAATTTGATTGTTGTTGTTGTGGTTGTTGTCCCGTTTGGATCTTTAGCCATCAGAATTGTTGTCTTAAGGCCAAGAAAGACGCCAAGCGGATTTATTTTACCAAGTGGATCGTCATGGCCTTGCCATATTGGTCCATTTGATTGACCTTTATTATAATTATGTATTTATTTTATTTTCAGTTGCTATAAATGGGACAAACAATTTGATTATTTCTAACAAACAAAGTGTGAACTTCCGCCCCATGTTGTGTAGCTTTCTGGATTTTATACTTATTGGGCTACATATTTATTTATTATACAGGCTGTACAGTACATAGCATCAAAATACACATTTAATGCAACTGAAATGTTTAATTTTGTGGGCTACAGAGAATAATTAGGTTATTGACTGTATTTATATGTAACGTGTATGAGCGACATGTATATATGTACTAGAGATGGACCGATCCGATATTACGTATCGGTATCGGTCCGATACTGACCTAAATTACTGGATCGGATATCGGAGAAAAATAAAAAATGTAATCCGATCCATTAAATATCACGAAAGCACCTCACAAAACTTGCAACACGCCGTAACTCACCTCAGAACGTTAGCACGTCGGAGCAGTATGCATCACGTGATAGAGCGGCTGTGGCATGCGGGACCTGTCGGTGGTCTGGATAGCATTTGGAGCTTCGCTAGCAACCCGGCATTTCATCTCCGACAAAGTTATCCCCGAGAGAAGTAAAGCAAGTGTGTAAGTCCATCTCTGAATGTTTGTAAAGCATTCCTGCGTTAAGCTTAACGAGCGACTGCCTCTTCTTGCTGCTACTTCAATCATGAAACTGCTTAATGATCAGCTGATCGGCTTTTCTGTCGCGAGTCCGTCTCTCTTGTTTGTTTTTGGCCCACTTTGCACCAGAAAGAGAAAACCAGCGGCTGAACAACAGCAGCACGTTTAAGCTTGATCAGCTGTTGTTAGAATTTATTTATTATTACTTTCTACTCGAGGATCTTTTTCTACAGCTGACGGCTGGTAACTGTGCAGGGGCGGATCTAGGAAAGTTTAGCCAGGGGGGCCGATAGGGCATGAACAGGGAAAAGGGGGCTCAAAGACATACTTTTCTTTCTTATTCTCATTTAAAATGTCGAGCTTTTAATAAATAATTATCTGACACCCAAAGTTTTAATTTGATGTAAAATGAATAGAAGTCAATTACTGTATATAGTGACTATTAAGTCTAATATATATACCCTAGTAAGCTATAGTACTCTTTACTTTGGGAAGGTACCATCTGTGCAGTCTGCAATTTTGTTGAAGAAAGATGTTGAATCTATTTAATATTTCTTGAAAAATAATTGATTTCTGTGCATTTTTTTTCACACTGCATCAAATTAAGGTTGATTACGTCGATTAAGCATCATGAGGTGGAGCGTGAGGGGTGGTTCCCTATTTTTTATTTATTTATTTTTGTTGTTGCTGGGAGTTGGAACCCTATTAGTTAGGTTGCTTAATATTTATGCTAAGTACTCTTTAAAATACCAGAATAGGGAGGATGGTGTAGGTTTAAGTTTATTAGATTGATCAGTATTGCTGAACTATGAAATATTTTTTTTACATACAGGTATAACAGAATAGCTTTAGTGTAGTTGTTGTTTTAAACTTGAGTATGAACTTATACAAAATGCAGCAAGATATTTAAAAAACAGTTTTGTTGATTAAAAAACACTATATCGGATTCATATCGGTATCGGCAGATATCCAAATTTATGATATTGGTATCGGTATCGGACATAAAAAAGTGGTATCGTGCCATCTCTAATATGTACACGTTACATATAAATGCTGTAAGTATACTTACGGCATTTAAATCATTTTAACCATATGTAACACCTGCGTATGTGTTTGTTTGTTTTAAAAAGGCTTTGATTTGCCACCCCATCTGATCTCCATGCCACCCTAAGAAAATTTCTTTACATCCAGCCCTGTCAGGGCCATGTTTCCTACTGTGCACTAGGCAGTCCTGGCTGGTTTCATGATGCTCTGGATCAGGGCTGTCCAAACTTTTTGCAAAGAGGGCCAAATTTTATAAAGTGAAGATGCCCAGGGGCCAATGGTTCCGTAACAAAGTTGCATGAAAATATAATGAAGAACAATTTTAATGGTCACAGTTACCTTTATTTTTAAAATGGAACTGTACCTAAATAAAAAGCCACTCAGGCAAACAGGAACAACTAAAGACACAATTGTGCCTTTCATTTATATCTGGAGAGTCAGATAACATTGAACAAACTGTGAAGAATACCCTACATTTCCATGAGTTTGCAATATCTTTGCCTCATGAACATTTTAAACAGGAGTTATAAGTAATGAAAAGTGGTCTGTTATCAATAAAGTTAAACAAAAAGTGAATTTTGCCCATCACTTTTACAAGATCTTTCAGGAAGCCAAAGTTTTTCACATCTACAGGAAGATTACACAACTGGGAAGTTCACTTGCACAAGAAATACACATATTTACACATATGTAAATATACACAATATGTACACAACACACACAACTATGAGTTAAGGGCATAACATCAACAGTTAAAGCCAAATCTTAAATGTTTAATAAAGTTCAGCACAGGCCTGCTGATGAGCCATCATTTGATTCAGCTGTGCTAAACCCGAAAGAGAACTAAAACATGCAGGGTAGCAGCTCTCCAGTAATTTGGACATCCCTGCACTACTGAGAGGGGTGATACTGAGATCGAGATTTTAGCAAAGCGATCAGGTCTGGTTTGAGGGCAGTGGTTGAGATGCATAAAATATCGTGGGAGACACTCATCCTTGATCTCACAGGGTTCTTCTTTAAGTTCATGAGAGAGAATTTTGCTCACACAAATATGTGAAACGCGATAGCTGTTGCGTAACTCTTCATTTGGGCATTAATGTCCTCTGGGAAACTGTCAGTAACCTCTTTCAAAGCTGGGAAGTGTGCGGTACAGGGCTCTGTTAGGGACAAGTGTCTTTGGAAAAGTTGCCGTTTGCTTCCAAAGGCCTTGATGTGAGCGTATAGTTGGCTCCCCACTGCGTCTTTTCCTTGAAGATTAACATTCAGCGCAATCCGATGCTTCGTGATGTCGACCAAAAAGCCAGATTTGCCAGCCATACAGTATCAGACAGTTCTTCCACTGGTTGTCCCTTCTCATCCAAAAACTGTCTGATTCTGTCTGAGAGAGAAAAATCGCTGTAGTGCAGACCACCTCACATCGTTGTGATAAATTATGTCACCATATTCAGCCTGGATGTCGTG